CACAGTTTGGGGATAGACTAAAAAAATCTGATATATTCTCAACACTACACGGTGTCTTATATCTGGCTGATGATGTTTTCTTTAATTTCACTCAGGTCTTTGCTCATCCCGAACGTTATTCATTGGATGAATTTTGGACACCTTCAGCAAAACAATCAGTGGATACTACTAATCGTAACTTCCCTCCACCTCCCGGATGGTGGAATTCACTCTGGCATCCATTTCGAAATTTTATGAATAACAAATTGCCTAAAGAACTGAAAGATAAATTAATAGTATTATATGGACCAAATAAAATACTGACTCAAATACCGGCTGATATTCTTTACGTTCCGCTTGCCGATCGACAGTCAACTGTACTTGTACAGGTAATTAACGAAATAATGACTCTATTTCCGACAGCATATTGTGAAGTCATATTTATTATATTGGTTGATTTAACAAGTGTTTTATGTAAACATTGGCCTTACCAAAACGATCGACCATTATTCAGATCATCAGTAAATTTATTAAATAATTTAAGTGTGATTAGAAAAATGGAAGATACGAATCAGATAATAAATAGTCGAAATCCGTATAACAGAAGTCAATTTCAAGAGAGACCTTCTCAACTGAATCCACACGGCTATATTTGGACACCGTATAGAACAAATGAGAAATTCTATCAAACAACACTGTCTACAGGTATTTTCCCTGCATATTACCACTCCAAATTGCAAGGAGCGGAATTTTGGCACGGACAAACTGAATTTATCCACCCACTTAAATTATCAAATCCGAATAACTGGCAAGCACGATTATGGCAAGAAGCAATGAAATCTCAAATACATAGGTTTTATCAGCAACAAACGCAGAGAAGGCTGTAAGCTCTATAGTGGTAAAATAATAGGAAAACAATTGTTATAATACATAAGACAGGCGCTACTCTTTAGCACAGCAGCGGTAATTAGCGTACTTGTGAGCACTGATCCTAACAGCATTTTATTTCCATTAATTTTACCAGGAAATATAGTGCTTGAAGCGGGTGATCGTGTGAAATGACATCGTGAATCCCAAAACACGTCGACATCAATCCACACAAAATATACTGATTGAAACGGACTTGTTTGTGCTGTATAGCTTAGTATGAAAGTTGTATCACACCAACGAAAACACATCCCCGAAAACACAGTTTTGTAACCGAAAGCAATACAGATTCTGAAAGTAGACACTTCAGGCTATCTTTCCATGCGCGTATCTCAAAACTGATTTTTGGATCGAAAATCATGATTTCTTAGGGGAGCCGTTAAGTAAAGCGTATAGACTAGGCATGGATCAGTACCAGTATTCGTACTGAAATAGTGATACTGACAACACTGATTCCGATGATGGATTTTTTTCAGTATAAATACTGGATAGTACAACAGAATAGACTTCCTAACCAATAAAAAATTGCTCTCTTCCTTTAACCTGGTTGCAGAAGATGTCGCTTCTTTCTTTATAGGTTAGTTGCAGTATGATCGCTAACAGTATACTGCTACTGAAGTCGCGGAAAAAGACTTTTGTTTGGTGAGTGCATTAAATGACAAAATAATTTCAGATCCGTGATTACCATCTTCGAAAGTATATATACTGTTGCTTTTGGCAAAGCGGACAAGAAAAAAACAGAAAACAAAACCGGCGGTACATATGAGATTCGAACAACTGATTAATGAATCCGAAGCATTTCCAGCACAGACGGTTTAAATAACTAAATTATATCATTGGTCTTTGTGTAAAACTAGATGGGCACCAGGGGCTGATCCAGCCCACGAACGATACGAGCGGCCGTTCGTACCTTTTAACAGTTTGTTTTTTCCCACTAGAACTTTCTTAGAATAATTTGTTTCTATGACAACCACACGTATCTCATATGTTTATCGTATACCAACACGTATCAAAGAATAATTCTGGATCCGCCACTTTTGGTTACTTCTCAGTATGTATTCAGTCCACTTTCGAGATGTCTAGGGGCAAGGCTATGACAGGAGCTAATCGAAAACTGACTTTGCTTATAAGCATCACATCCTTATGGGTACATATTTAGGTGCAACAAATATAAATTCAGAAGAAACACAACGATAAGAAAATCCTTCAAAAACGATACAAAAAAGAGTGCACATAATACAACATTTACAGCGATTCTTTACGCTTATTTTCCTATACACAACTAAAACTAGCAGAATATGTCTGACACAATTTTCGTACCTAAAAACTTACTTTTCTCGAATTGTGGCAACATAGTCATTAAAACAGACTCAGCAAGGAAAAAATCAGATTTGAACGATGTAAATATCAATCCGGTTGCTTATTGATATCAGAAGAACACACTTTAGTAACATGTTACTATGAGCATAGGTTTATTCTACATAATAAGGAATAGCACTACTGCTGAAAACGCTAACGAACTCGACACGAATAAAAAGGGATGATTGCATGTAAAAGAAAACTTTAATTATAGATATTTCCTTAAATACCAGCTAGGGTATATTTCTTGAGATGTTTGTAATACTTG